AATTTTAGCAAAGATATAGAAAGGCAGATAAATCATGACCAAGTGAGATTTTTTTCCAGGAATGCAAAGTTGGTTCAACATTCAAAAACCAACCAATGGCTGGGTGTGGTGGTGCGTAGCTGTAATCCCAGCACTTTGGGAGGCTTTGCTAGAGGGATCACAAGTTCACGCTCAGCCTGGGCAACTTAGCAAAACCCTGTCTCAAAATAAAAAATGAAAGGGACTGGGAATATAGCTCAGTGCAAAGGCCCTGACTTCAATCCCCAGTACAACAAACAAATAAATAACCAAACAACAACAAAATGATCAATATAATACATCATATTAAGAGAATACAGCAGAAAAAACCCTCAATCAGTTATTTCAGTAGAAGCAGAAAAGTCATTTGGGAAAAATCAACACTTATTCACAGTAAAAACTCTGAGCAAATGAGCGTAGAAGGGATTGTCCTCAAGTCGTAACGGCTGTCACCACACTTTATAATAAAAGGCCAAATGTTTTCCCTCTAAAACTGGGAACAAAGCAAGAATTTTTACACTAAGAACTCTTCTCCAATGTCATCCTGGGGTTTCTAGCCAGTCCTATAAGGCAAGAAAAGAGGCACGAGAAAGATGAAGACCGGAAAAGAAGTAAAGCTGCTGTTATCTGCAGATACACTATTGCCTTAAAAAGAAAATCCAAAAGATCTATAAAAAAACTACTAGAAGTAATAATTAATAATGGCTAAGAATAACTATTTTCTAAATACAAAGTCACAGGATAGAAGGTCAATATATAAAAATAAGAGAATCTAATATTCAGAACCATAGGACAGTTAGGATTTAAATATAATGAAAGATGTGTGAAATATCAACACTTTAATGAGTGGCTAAGAAAAATTAAAGAACCATTAAGTCAAATGGAAAGATGCATTATGTTTAACAGCTGGAAGATTCTTCGCTATCAGCATACTGTATTGTTGTCAGGTTCAAAATGATCTACATTTTCTATAAATTCCAATCAAATCCCAGCAAGCTTTGTGGAGGACTATTAACAAAGAAATTCTAAAACTCATATGGAAAAGCAAAGGCCTCTGAATAGTCAGAACAATTTTGCAAAAAGAAAAAGGAAGACAATTTAGAGACATATACTGTGAGGTTTACTGCAAATGATAGCAATCAAGATCGTGTGGGTTTTGGGTAAACAGCACGTCAGTGAAACAGATAAGGGAGAGCAAAAAATAGGCCTATGTTTATAGGTTCAGCTTTTGACAAAGGCACTAAAATAATTGGATAGTGGAAGAAAAGCCTTTTCCATGACTGGTATGAGAATAACTGGACAGGTACACAGGACAAAATGAACCTCCGGTCCATTGCTGTGCTGGATACACACGTTATTTAAGATCACAGGCTCCCCATCTGTGGAAGCAGGAGGTTGGTGAAGGTTAACTGGGTAAGATCCAAAAAGCACTGCATCATAAAATTGAAAGAGAGGAAAACTATTTCATTAAAATTTAAAATTGCACATTAAAAAACACTAATAATAAAATGAACAGGCAAGCTGCAGTCTTGGAGAGAATATTTAGAGGGCATATATCTGACAACGGTTCTCCAGTAGGAACTATGACGATACATCAGGCATGGTGGTGCACACCTATAATCCAAGCCCTCTGGGAGGCTGAGGCAGGAGGATCACAAGTGAAGCCAGCCTGGGCAATTTAGAGAGACTTTGTCTCAAACTGAAAGATTAAATAAAAGGAATGGGGATGCAGGTCAGTGCAAAGGCCCTGGGTTCGATCCCCCATACCAAAAAAGAAAAGAAAAAAATTTAAGGATGAATAAATCAGTGAAAAGTGGGCAAACACTTGAACTGGCATCTCAGAAGGGAAGAAGCATAAATGGGCAATAAGTAGATGAAAAAGTGCCCAACACCATTAGTCATCAGGGTGTAGCAAATTAAAACCACAATGAGGTACCAGCTCGCATCCAGCAGAACGGCTAAAATTTAAAAACCAAGTGTGGCGAGGACATGGAGCAACCAAAACTCTCCGACCTCGCTGGCGAGGGTGTAAAACAATACAACTGCTCTGCAAACTGGTTCAGCAAATTCAACCTGCTGGTGCCCATGACTCAGCAAATCCCTAGGGTTCTGTGACCTGGAACCGTACCGATTTACTCAAGAAAAATGAAAACATGCCCATGCAGAGATGTGTGCAGGAATGTTTATAACAACTTCATTCATAATATCCACCTGTAGGAGGCATCGATAAACAGATTGTAGTAATAAAAAGAAAGGCACAGGAAAGAACCACTGATAGATACAGTGGGATGGGGAGTCCCAGAAATATGCCGAGCACAGGAATCTAGACACAAAAAGGGTCCGTAGCGCACGGCTCCCGGTATGTGAACCTGTCAGAATGGCCTGGCTGTCCACGGGTGTCCTGGGTGGGAAAGATGGGCCAGACTGCGACGGGCAGGAGGGGCCTTCCTAGGGCACTGAGAAGGTTCACTATCTTGATGGACTCTGGGTTACGTTTGTCGGCTGTACACTGAAGATCTGTGCCTTTCACCATGCGCAAATTACATCTCAATTTAGAAGAGACATCAGAACGGGTTTGGGTTGATCCCTCTAATATAACACTGTTCTCACATACTTGAAATCAGAATGATTTCTCAGTGGGCTTGGGGAGGGGGTAGAATTTCAGCTGATGCACTGGCGATGAACTCAGCTCCACTCTATTCTTGGCCTTACTTACACCTGTGAATCCCATCCACCATCTCTACCACCCCCACCACCAAAAAAACGGAGTGCTGCTAACGTACATGACATCTGTGTTCATCTCCTAGAACTGCCAGTAACACCTTAGCACGGGGGGGGGGGCTTAAAACAATAGAGATTTATTCGGTAATGGTTCAGGAGACCAGAAGGCCAAAGGGAAGGTATCATCAAGCTTCTAGTGGAAACCCTCAGCATTCCTTGGAGCATTAGTCACATTTGTGTTACTATAATGAAATCCCTGAGGCAGGCTTCCTTACAAAGGAAAAAGGCTTCTTTAGCTCCTTTAGGTTTTGGAAGTCAAAAGTCTGAGACTGAGTAGCCTCATTGGTCTGGACTCTGGTGAGGGCCTCATGGTGGAGACGAATGCAGAGCTTGCGATCACAATCCAAACAGGTGCCAGGGAGCAATGCAGGGGTCAGACTGGCTCTTAACTCAGCTCGTTCTCTCCAGAGCTCAGGGGACCCATGAGAGTCCCTCAGTCCCTTGCGAGGGCAAGAACCTCATGACTGAAGGTCCACATGCTAGGTTCCTCCTCTTGAAGATTCCACACCATCTCCCAATGTCACCACCCTGGAGACCGAGCTTCCAACATGTGCACCCCTGGGGGACACACTGCATCCAAACCACGGGCCTATAGATGTGTCTCTGGCCTTTGCCTACATTGCTACGGGGCTTTCTTCCCTATGATCTCTGTACATCCTTCCTTCTCTTTTATAAAGAGACCAGTCACTGGAATTAGGCCCTCCCTTATCCAGTATGACTTGACTAATTACAACTGTAAAGACCATATTTCCAAATAAGGTTAGACTCCGAGGTTCCAGTAGACACAAAATCTGGGTGACATTATCTAACCTATTAACGTACCCCCCCTATTCCAGTGGAGATGAAAACAGGAAGAACATCTTCCGGAGCAGCCTGGAGTCTTAGGGGCACCCTGAGCAGCCCGTGGGTGGGTTTGGGACACAGAGGCCCAGGCAGAGGAAGTAGAGCTAGTGAAGGAAAATCCTGAACAGCAAAAGTCATACCTGTGGGCTATGCCCCAGGGGACACAGAGTCACAGGAGACGGTGCTGGAAGTTCTGGGGTTGCTGCCATCCCCGATTGGCATCTAATCACCCAGAGGCATCACTACAACATGAAGGCACAAGTTCTGTCTTAGTCACTTCTCTCATTGTGGGACAAAATACATGACTCCCACAGCTTAAGGGAGGAAGGTTTATTTTGCCTCACACTTTGAAGAGGTTTCAGTCCGCAGTGGACTGGCTCCAAGGCAGGGTGGCATGGCAGAGGGGCACAGAGGAGGAAAAGTTGCTCACCTCATGGCAGCCAGGAAGCAGAGAGTGAAGGGAGGAGCCAGGAAGGGAGATGTAACCTTCTGGGTCACGCCCACAGCAGCCCGCCTCTTCCACTCAGGCCCCAGCTCCTAACAGCAATCAGCTATAAGCCCCTGTAATCCGATCACTTCTTCCAAAGGGCCTGCCTATGATCACATAAGGCAGGCATGGCCACACGCTGGGAACAATCTCATGTCCATGGAAGAAGCAAAAGGTCGCACCCTTGCTCTGGCTCAGAGTTGCTTTTAATTTACCTTTGCCTTTTTTCCAGAAAGGAGATCTGGCCATTTCCCTTTCTCTAGAGGAGTTAACCTTTAGCGAGAAGAACAATCAATCCCCAGCCTGCAGACCTCCTGCTGGTTCAGAGGAGGAGCTGGCTCTTTGTAAATGTGTCCCCTGCGCACCACGTCAGGCTCCCTTCTGTCTTGAGGCACCCCCAATTGACCCCACCGAATACTCAGAGCCTTCACATCTTTTCAGTTTTGTCCCATTAAGGCATGCTCCAGAAAAGGCACACAGAACCGGATGCAGAGCGGCTAGCTGCCCTATCCCAGCAAAGCATTCCCACATATGGGGTGTGGGTATTCTGGGTCACAGGGAGGCTCGGAGGCCCCCCATCACTGCAGGGGAGCATGTCTGCCTTCCAGCAGGCTGGCTGCCTCTCATTCTCCTTGCTAAGCTTTCAGCCCCTGGCCATGCTTAATGTGTTCTTTGTCCTCCAAGCACCTGTTTGAAACAGTGAGAACAAGGAAAGCCAGGTACCAGAGGGGGCCTCAAAAATGGAACCACAGGACTGGGGTGCTGCTCAGGGGCAGAGCACTTGGCTAGCACTGCACCTCCAGCACCACGAAAAGAGAAAATCAGAAACAAAATGACAGTGAGAAGCAGGAAGAAAAACAACACTACTTACAGATGAGGGACGGTCCGAATGGGGGGCTGAGCTGGCCTGGTGGTGTCTACATCTCAGATCTTGTCAGATCGATGCTCAAGCCCTGCAAAAGTGATTCGATGCTCAGTTAAGATGCCCTGTTAAAGATGCTCAGTTATCTTTTGGTGTCGGTACCAGCCTGCTCTGGCTGTTGTCATGGATCTCGAAGAGAGGGCGGCTCAGACAAGAGGAATTCCTGGTCTCACAGTGTTGGAGACCGAAGCCCAGGGTCAAGGAGCCACGCACGGCTCATTTCCTGGTGGGACCCATCCACCTGCCTCAGACGGCCCCTCCCATTTGTGCTTTGCATTTGGGATGGCCCGTCAAAGCTGAATGCACCCAGAGGGGGGCTTTCGGAAGGTGTGTGGATCACAGGGGTACTAGGGCTGATTTGCTGGTGGGGGGGCCTGGTTGGAGCTGGGTCACTGAGGGCGTGACGTGCAAGGGTAGATCTCCCTCCCTGGCTCTTCCCCTCTCTCTGCTTCCTGGCTGTCATGAAGTGAGCAGCTTTTCCTCTACTGTGCTTCTGCCAGGCCATTTTCTGCCTTGGAGCCAGCCAACCGTGGACTGACAACGTGAGCCAAACAAAACCTCTCCTTGGGCTGGAGATTTAGCTCAGTGGTGGCATCATCTGTCTTGAAAGCACAAGGTCCTGAGTTCGATACCTGGTACCAAAAACAAAAACCAAACCTCTCCTCCTTTAAGTTAGGGGTGTCAGGTATTGTGTTTTAGCTAGAAGGAGGTGACTAAGATGTCTGTCCTCAAGTGACCCTTTCTCGGTGTATATGAACTCTGATGTCTCTTTCTCTTCTTATAAAGACAAAAGTCATTGAGCCTTGTGGGGCAGGCCTGTAATCCCAGCACTCTGGGAGGTCGAGGCTCTGGGGTCTCAAGTTTGAGCCTAGTCTGGGCAACTCAGCAAGACCTTATTCAAAAAAAAAATTAAAAATGGGCTGGGGATATAGCTCAGTGCAAAGGCCCTGGGTTCAATCCCCAGTACTGAAAAAAAAAAAATACCAGTCTTGTGGGATTAGGGTTCCACCTTTATGGTCTTATTGAATTGCCTGCTTAAAGGCTCTATCTCTGAATATGATTGCAATGGAAGTTGGGGCTCTGACATAGGTACTTGGGGCCACAATTCAGTACCTAAGAGTAATTCAGCATACTACACCCTCTTCCCATGATGGGATGCAGGGATCTACCCTGGCTCTTTAAAAAGTAGACCGCCCCTGACAGAACCTAAAGAACATGGACTTCTTGGGCAGTCTCCCCAGCAATGCTGTGATCGCCCCATGTTTTACGGAGTCTCCTCTATGCACTACTAGTCCCAAAGCTTGAGCGACAATTGCACAGGGCGGGGCAGGGGCATGTCCACTGTCATAGGGGTCCCACCCACAGTGGCCACGAGAACTGACTTTACATTTCCCGTGTCTCTGTGTTGCCCGTGCTGTTCCTTGCCCAGCATGCCCTTCCCCAAAGGGGTCACCTACATATCCCCGGGGTGCCACGCCACAGCCACCCACAGCCCCAGAAGCTCCATGTTTCCTTCGTCCGTGTCTCCCAAGCCCTGACTTTCAGAGAAGTTCTTGTCATGGTGAATGGTGCTTCTCGGCTGACCTGTGTCAGTTGCTTTCTTATTGCTGGAACACAATACTTGACACCCACAGCTTAAAGGAGGAAAGGTTTCTTTTGGCTCAGTTTGTAGGGGGGTTGAGTCCCCAGTCAGCTGGCTCCTGAGTATCATGCTCCCATGATCCAGTCATGGCCCCAAAGCCCCACCTATGAGCACATGAGGCTTTGGGGAGACATCTGGATATAAACCCTAACAGCCCGTGTGTCTTCACTCAGCAGCTTACCTTTGAGAGCAGGAGCCTCATCTGGGCACCAGCAGAACCGAGATTCGGGTCAGAGGTCACTGCAGGTGCTTGGCAGATGTGTGTCAAATCTCCCTAAGTGGCTTCTAGCTAGTACCCTGATCCCATCCAAACCGAGACCTGCTCTAGACTGGCTCTGTGCAAAGGTGGCAGGGCTAAAGCCATCAGCCCTGCTGCCAATGCTCTCCCCAGCGCTGAGCCTTTCCTCTAGAACTCAGCAGGAACACACATCTGGAAGTGCCAGGGCCTCCATTAGCACCGCATGGAGCTGGTGAGGAGCCCCAGACCCTCAATCTTAGGTGGAGAATTTCTGGGGTACGTGTTTTTCCCACTTCTCCACGGTGTGGGGTGCCTGTTGCCCACAGGCCATAGGCTCAGTGCCACCCCCTCCCTGATCTGACCCCCCTGCCATACATTCTTTCCCCAGCCACTCCCAGATGAATGACTTGTACTCAAATGCTTGCCTTGTGGACTATTTTGGGGGGAACCCAAGCTAAGATGCACCCTGGAATGGAGATGGAGTTTGGATCAGGTTGCTGACTTTGAATCCCAGCTCTGGTAGGGCTGAGCAGAGCACAGCGAGCTGTTTCCAGCTGAGAACCTCTGTGCACCAGGGACCCAGCACGTGTGTGCATGTGGGGGAAGGAGATAGAGCACCCCACTAGCAAAGGAGCCTGACTCCAATCTCAAGCCAGAGGCTCAGGGAGACAGACAAGTTCCATTTCTCAGGAGGAAGAAGGTCAGGGCCCATCCACGAAGAGGAGGGACAAGGACCTGGATGGTGGAGGGGCCAACGCTGAGCAGCCCTGAGGTGCTCAGGTCCGCGCAGCGACAGCAGTCATGTCACAGCCCATGTGCTCTGAAAACCAAGTTTCTCAGTGCTGAGACATCTCACCCTGGAGCTCCTGGGGCACTAGTAACAGCACAGGCTGGCTCTGGGCTCTCAGTTTGTACTATAAAAAGACGGGATTATTTTTATTTCTGTGCAGAGTGCACAGAACATTTCCTTGTTCCACAAGGAACAATCAAGAGGGAAGGCCAAGCTTGGAATGGCAGGCGGGGCCTGTCCTGGAGAATCTTAGCTGAATCTCTCTGCAAGGCTACCTGTGGCGATTTTAGATCAGACCCTCACATTGTCTGCCACTCTTCCTCCCTTGCCCTGAGCCTGGCTCTGTGATGCTTGACTTATAGAAAAAACTTTGGTGCTTGTGTCAGGCCAGGGCCTGTTTCTCTCAGGACGCTCATTCTTCAACCCAGATGTCATGCTGCGAGGAAGCTCCAGCATCCCAGAGAGGCTGAGATGGGAAGAACCAAGGTCCCCAGCCCCAGACCTGGCTGAGCAGCCAGCCAGCAGCTGGCGGCAACCTGCCAGCCCATGTGTGTACCATCTTGGAAGAGGTCCCTCAGCCTCCAGCCAAGCCACTGCTGATGCCACATGGAACAGACAGCTCTCCCACCAGGCGTGGCCCATGCTCAGATCCATACACTGAGTGAGTGCTGTGGTGGTTTGAAGCTACAAAGTGTTGGGCACTTTTTATGCAAGACACAACTATAATTCTACCGCTGTGCCTTGGACAACTGTCTGCCCTGTCTGGGCCTCCAGTTCCTCACTTGTGAAAAGAGAAGGATTCAGAGGTTTCGGAGCGCATCTCGGTTCACATAGGAATGAATCCCTTCAACACACATGGTCTTTCCTGGTTTTATCATAACGCGTAACACCCTCTCTTCAATTCACTTCAAAATCCCCCAAAAGTACAAGTACACTTTATAGCAGTGCTTATTAAAGGGAGGGTAGGACTCTGACCCCTGCTCCCTGGGGCTGGTCTTCTGGAATGCAGAGTCCCGCACAGGAAGGCAGAGAGAGACTGGGAATCTGCACTGTTAATGTGATCCTGGAGCACTGACGCCCCTTTGTGGGTCACAGACAGCTGCCCATGGGACTAAATACATGAAGGCCAAGTCTCATTTCGTCCTTACGATAGCTCTCTGGGGAAGGCTCTGGAATCATTTTCACTTTACAGATTGGAGATGCAACATCTGGACAGGTCAGGTGACTTGTCCCAGGTCACCTGAGTGGCTGTGTGGCTGGGATTTGTGTGGAAGCCATTTCATAGACGCTCCCTCTCCTGCTGCCTCTTCTGAGCAACAGGTAACGTGAGATTAACCATTTTTTAAAACCTCACCATTTTGTGCCTGCAGCTAGGCAGCTGGGGATGAAAATCTATCACAGGAGAACCAAAGTGGGGACTCAGTAACACACCAGGAATAACAAAGTGGAGTTAACAAAGATAGAGGTGACTTTTTCAGGCTTCCTACTACCAGCTGTAATTAATTTACAGCTTTTTGCATGCTAATGTTTCCCTGCCTTCTGCCAGTAATAAATAACCAATAAGCTCTAATACCTAGTTATTATTCATCCCTTTCAGATATTTGGATTTTGATTCTTCGCTGCCGTTCAATCACATTGAATTTCTTTAACCGGGACAGCTCCATTAAGAGTCCCCTGCAAGGACATCCTGCCAGGGCAGTGACAGTAATGGTTCATGGGTGACGAGAGAGAGTGGGGAGTTGAGACACGAAATATTGGCAGCCACGGAAAAAAAGGAGAAGCTGTAATAAAAAGCACCACCAACCTCCACTTAAGTAACGTCAGGGTTGTGACACAGGCCAATAAAACCAGAGAACTCACAGTGGAGGGCAACACGCCATCCCTAACATGCCTGTCTCCACAGCGGAAATGGATTTCTCTAATCACCTCCCGGCACTGACCACACCCCAAGTCCCCTGCAGGGAGTTAGACTAGCTTGCAAGCTCCCAGCCGTGTATTTCAGAAAAGTTACTTGGAACTTTCTCCATTTTAATTTCTGCGGAGTGTTTTCTAAGCCAAGAGGGCCAATCCCACAAGCAAAGCTGGTCCGTAGAATGGTTTTGGTTCTAAAGAGTTCATCTTCCTACCCATTTTCACCCATTCGAAACACAGCCACTCATGTTCCTCTGGGCCTGCTGAGGACTGACTGTGGCAGTCCCCATTCTGCCCTCTGCCTGCTCAGGAACGGGAGCATCACTCCTGCGCCCTCTGTGAGGCCACCTCTCTTAGTCACTTCTCAGTCCCCTCCCTGCCTTGTGGGCCTGGCTGCTCCTCACAGGATGCTTCCAATACAAGAGGGCCCTTCCTAGGAGGCAGCAATTT